TATGTTGATTGTTTTTCTTGCACACTTATTATGAATCCCATTTGGTCATGATGAATTCTTTTTTTAGGTGCTTTTGCATTTGATTGGCTAAGATTTTGTTAAGGATTTTTTTTTGCATTGGTCTCTAAGTTTTTTTGTTGTAATATCTTTTCCTGGTTTGGGAATTAGGGTTACGCTTGCTTCAAAGAACATCTCTGGGCGTGTTACCTTTTTTCTATTTTTTAAAAAAATACTTTAAGTAGAGTTAGTGATAGATATTCCCTGAATGTTTGGTAGAATTCAGCTGTGAAGCCATCTGGTCCAGGACTTTTCTTATGGGGAAGTCTTCTTATGACCTGTTCAATTTCTTCCTTTGTCATGGGTCTCTTCAAGTGTTCTACAATTGTCCATGTCAATCTGAGTATGGCATAAGTTTCAAGGAATTTTTCCATTTCCTCTAGGTTTTATAATTTCTACACTTATTTTTACCAGTCATTGGTTTGATATTCATTGCAAATTGACTCACAGACTTTATTCAGTTATGAGGTTGGTTAGGAAAATATGTTGGGGAGTAGAGGAGGCAGAGAACACCACCCAAATGCAAATCCTGGGCCAATCCAGTAGTTCCAAACCAGACTAATAAGGCAGAATTCCTCACTTTGTGAAAATCCAGGTTCAGTTCAGCAGCATACATACATACAAGAAGCCTCTAGTTTCCTCAATTATACAGCAGTTACAAGTCAGCTTTTCCTTCAATCATCCTGGAAGCCTTTAATTGTGTCTCCATCTCCAGAGTTCCTCTAATTATACCTTGCCATAATCTCTTCAAAGCAGTGCCACAGTCTCTTCACCCTCTCTCCACCACTGTCATCACCTTCTGTCACAGTGTAGAAAGCACTCTATCATATCGATCCCATAACTTTTATTGATTTGTAAGACCATGTTAAAGTTAAAGTCACAGTTAAAGTAGCTGGAGACCATGTTCCATCCCCTGCCAATGAGGGTAAAGACAATGGCTAGAAAAACCAATTTTCAAGGGTTCTGATTACCCAGCTACTGAAAAGTAAATAGTTACGTCTTAACCAGGTACAGTCAGAGTCCTCCTATATGGCAAGGTTTAAAAAGTTTTGTCTCACATGACCTATTCCTTGAAGAGGGGCATCATGCTTGGAAAGGCAGAGGGTCCGTAAAGTAGAGGAAGACTGTCAATGAGATGGAGTGACACAACAACTGCAACAATGGGCTAAAGTGTGTCAGAAATGATGAGGACAACACAGGATAGGACAGGATTCAGCTATGTGCTCAGAGGATCACGTCGAGTTGTACTCAACTCAACAGCACCTAAAAACAACTAAAATTACTAAATGTAATAAGTCAATTTAAAAATCATACTATTAAGTACTGCTATAATAATAAAATCAAGAAGAGATATACACACAGAAAACAAATTTCTTTGATGGTTACCAGGATGAGAGAGAGACAGAATCATTTTAGATACATGTTGATTTTGGTAATAGGAAGAGCAAGATTTAATATGGGTGAAGGCAGCATAACTTGATCAAGGAAAACAAAAATATTAACAAGTACACAAGAAAACAAATGTTGTAATATACAACCAATGTTAGACATATCTTAGCTGAAAGTACAGAGTATCAAGGAATGTCTATCTGTGTTTCATTGATTAAGCAAAGGCATTTGACTATGTTAATCACAATAAATTGTGGCTAACCTTAAGAAGAATGGGCATTCTATAGTATTTAATTGTGCTTTCTTGAAACCTGTACTTGGAACAGGAAGCAGTAGTCAGAACAGAGCAAGGAAACACTGAATAATTCAAAATCAGAATAAGTGTACGCCCTGGAAATATCCATACCTTTTCCAATCTATATATGGAACAGATAATTCAGGAAACTGGACTTTATGAGCAGAAATGTGGCATCAGGACTGGAAGAAAGCTAGTCAAACACTTACATTATTTGATGATACAACCTTGCTTGCTTAAGCTGACGAGGACCTGAAGCATTTGCTGCAGAAGGTCAAGGACTGTAGCCTTCAATATGGATTGAATCTCAACATCAAGAAGACAAAGATTTTCATCACCAGGCCAACTGGCAGTATCATTCTAGATGGAGAATAGATTTAGATTTTTAACAGCTTCAGTTTGCCTGGCTCTACAAACAGCACTCTTGGTACCAGTAGCCAGGAAGGACCAATCCTTGGAGAAGGACCTTATGCTTGCAAAGGTGGAGGGACAGCACAGAAAAGGAAGACCCTAAATGATATTGATTGACAGTAAATGAGGTGATGGGTGTAGGTATGTCAGAAACAGTCAGATTGGCTTAAGGATAGGACATGATTCAAAGCTATTGCACCTAGGGTTGCTATGTTGTAAGTTATTTGATTACACACAACAAGAGCAATATAACATTTGTAAGTAGTATAACATATTGGTATCAACAGTCAGGAGATCAGGAGATGTGTTGCTTTAGGCAAGTCCACTGTCAAGAATCTCTCCAAAATACTGAAGAACAATGGTGCAGTCTGAAAACTAAACTGTGCCTGATTCAGGTCATGGTCTTTTAAATCACTTGCTATGGATCTGAAAGCTAGAAAATTACTAGGATCACAAAAGAATTGATACCTTTAAGTTATGGCATTGCAGAACAATATTTAATATTCTATAGAATGCCAAAGGAACAAACAGATATGTCTTGGAAAAAGTGTAGCAAGAGTGCTCCTTGGAGTCAAGGATGGTGAAGCTTTGGCTCTCATACTTTGGACATGTTGCTAGTAGAGTCTATTCCTTGATAAGAGACCTCATGCTTGGAACTTTGGAAGGTTAGAGAAAGAGATAAAGACTTCCAGTGAGATGTATTGACATGGTGACTGTAGCAATGGTCTTAAGTATGATAATTTTTTTGGTTTCTGTTAGTACAGAACAAAATAAAATAAAGGAAATTTTAAAATCTGAAACAAGAAAGTAGCTATGGGACTAAGCTCACTGAAATTATATCTCTTCTAATCCGAGACCAAAAGAATTAGTGTCAGGCCATTCTTTACTGATAGAGATTAGATGAACTTCAGGCCTATAACACAGAGGTAGCATTTGGACTTGGAATTGAAGCTACTTCTGAAGGTCATCTTTCTGCAAAATGATAAGTGAAAAATACCATCTTTTAACAATATGCTTCCGTAAACAACCAACTCTATGAGACCAAATGGTCAACATTTACCCAAAAGCAAATTAGAAAAGCCAAGAAGGGGAAGGGAATCTAGGTCAATAGGAATAAAACAAACAGAAGGAAAAACTGAGACTTATGATTCATTCTAAAAGTTGTAATGACACTACAGAAAATTTTGTAAAAAACTATGTCAAAGGGGAAACTAATTTCTTATTTAAGCTTTCATTTAACATTCAGTGTGAAAGACTCCAGATTGTGTCCTTAATTGGTGAACTACTGAAGCCAATGGAGGAAAACATCAGTTTGGCTCATTGTTTTATGGATTTATATACTAATTACTTTAAATGATAAACTCTAAAAATGGTATATGAATAATAAAACCCAGATCAGATATATATTTTTTCTTTGAAATTTACATCTCTTCTTAGAAAAGCTTATAAAGGCTTTATTTTATCAACCATAATAGGTTGCAGGTAACTATAGTTTCTGAGATCAAATTCTGATTAAAAGTAGATTCATCCTAGAGAGGGTTAAACCAGGCTGCTCCTTGGAGGCAAGGATTCTGGGGCTTTGCCTGACATACTTTGGACATGTTGTAAGGAGAGACAGGTCTTTGGAGAGGGACATCATGCTGGGCAAAGTGGAAGGACAGCGCAGGAGGGGAAGACCCTCTATGAGGTGGATTGATTCAGTGACTGGGGTAATGGGGATGGGTGTGTCGGAGGCAATGAGATTGGCACAGGATAGAGCAGGGTTTAGGGCTGTTGTACATAGGGTTGCTATGAGTCGCAAACGACTTGACGGCACATAACAACAACAACAATACAATTATCATGCCTTCAGTACACAGTCTCCTACATTACCAGGAATGTGAGCTAGATGTTGAATTACTGATAAATAAAGCTTTGAGAAGTGGAAAAATAAGTTCGTGGCTATCCCCAAAGACTAGAAAAGTGTTTAATGTTGCTAAGAAATATTTCATATTTAACAAAAGCTGAATAGAAAATAAAATTTTGATGATGAACTTTATTTTCTAGACAGACTTCTTAGAAAAATATATGCCTCATTATGTAAAACACCAACTAAGTCCTTAAAAAAACTCAAAACCTAGAAACTGCTACTTTCCTGTTTTAATTATCTTAATTCATTAATTCAATGTGTTACATTGATATTTAAGTTAATACTGTTTAATGTTCTACACATTTTATTCCCTGATTATTTTTAAGCCTCCAAAACTGCTTTTGTACCAAAGAGACTACAATTTTGAGGAAATTCTATAAAAAATAGACAATCTCTAAATGAGAATTCAGTGTATTTCCACCCCCACCCCATAATAGACTCCTTCTTTAAATTCCTAGTCCACAGCTCAGATTGATGAATCTAAAATATACAGAGTTTAAAGCAAGGAAGATTGTGCAAATATAGGAAATTAGATACAGTCCTATTTGCATTTTAGAACATTTTGGTCATCACTAGACACAACAGAAATTACTGGCATCAATCAGTGAAGTCTTTAAAAACCAAAAACCAAATGCATTGCTGTTGAGTCAATTTCAGCTCATAATATCCTTTGGTAAGAGAACAATCATGCTCAATACGGTGCCCAAGGCTGTATTCTTTAGGGAAACAGACTGCCACCACTTTTCCTTAAGAAAGGCTGATGAATGTCAACCACCGACTTTTTGGTTCTAACACAGAACAGATCATCTTCTTTACCTGACAACTGACAACGAGGATGGATAAAAACAATTGGAGCATGACCTATTTTATTATTTTTCAATGATCAGCTGCAAATCTATCCATCAACAGTAAAATTCAGCCTCAGAGTTCTCTGCTAACATGCCAAGTGCAACAGAGGTCATATATATGATCTTGCTTTCTAGTGAATTGGCTATAGGAATCTGGGGAAATGGATTCATTGTACTGGTTAACTTCTTTGGCTGCCTCAGAAGAAGAGATATTTCATTAGTGGACACCATCCTAGTCAGCTTGGCCATCTCCAGAATCTCTTTGTTGTGTGTAATATCCTTAGATGGCTTTATTATGGTGCTTTTTCCAAACGTGTACACCCATGGTGAAATAATGAGCGTTTTGGATATTTTCTGGACACTTACCAACCATTTAAGTGTTTGGTTTACCTCTTGCCTCAGTATCTTTTATTTACTCAAGATAAGCAATGTCTCCTGTTCACTTTCCCTCTGGCTGAAGATAAATATCAAAAGGGTCATCCTTGGGATTCTTCTCGGGTCTTTTCTTATCACCTTACTTATTTGCATTCCAATGAGCTACTATTTGCATGATGATTTTCGTTATCAATTCAAGGATGATAATGGAGAAAATAAAACTTTGGAATTTGAAGTGAGTAAAATCCTAAATGCTTTGCAACAGATATTCCTGAATTTAGGGGCACTAGTTCCTTTTGTTCTCTCTCTGATATCATTTCTCTTGTTACTTTTCTCCCTATTTAGACATACCAAGAATATAAAATTTCATGCCACAGGGTCGAGAGACCCCAGCACAGAGGCCCACATGAGGGCCATAAAGACAGTGGTCATCTTTCTGCTCCTCTTCATTATTTCCTATACCCTCTTTCTTGTAGTAACTTCTAGCTTCCTGATTCCTCAGAGGAAATTAGTGGTGATGTTTGGTGGCATCATAACAATCATTTTCCCATCAGGCCATTCATTCATCTTGATAATGGGGAACAGCAAGCTGAAGGAGGCTTTTCTGAAGCTGCTAAGGTTTATGTGGGCTCATACAACACTTTGTTCTATACAAAGTCCTCGAGAGACTCTTGAATAAAAAGAGATTCAACAAACAACTTTTTCTTCTTTCTCCATGTCACTGTATTTGTTTGTTCTTAGATGCCTTGAGTATCATGAATATATATAATCATTAATATCTGTAGTTATTCTAAAGATAACTTTTGTGTTTCTTCGCATTTCTGTATTGTTTAATTTCTAATCTAAAGTCATCTGCGAAATTAGTTCAGGACAGAGCAAACTTCAGAGCTATGTTGCTATGGGTTAAAGGAGACTCAACAGCACATAACAACAACAAAATCATCTTCAAACCACTATGTTTTCTTTGCCTCTATAGGAAAAAAAAAAATCTAAATTGGAACATTTTGCATCATTGCATAAATGCAAAGATATTCTGTTTCTTATTGCCATATTACTAATAAGGAAGGAGTCTTGGTAGTGTAATGGTTAAATGTGCACTGCTTTGTGGGATTAAAAAACTAACCCTTTGTGCCCTTCAAACTTACAGTTTAAAAGACTCCATAGTTGTAGTTCTCTCTATATGATCACTATGAATTATAATTGACTCTATAACACACATCAACAATGGCAAAAGCCACTGAATCAGTGTATGGAAGAAATTCAGGCAAAACAGCTCTAAGGAACAAATTTTAAAACACATTAGCCTTTCCTGTAAAAATCAGTCATTTAAAAAATATATTTTTTAAAAAATATATATCTGTTCGGTGTAAATCAAGACTGTTATTATTATTGCTGTTATGTACCATCCAGACAGAACCAACCCATAGCTGACCCTCCAGTGGGTTTTCAGAGGCAGTAATCTTACAGAAGGAGATTGCCCATCTTTCTCCCATGGAGCAGCTGGTGGATTTGAACTGCTTACCTTTCAGATTGCAGGGCAGATTCTTACCAATCTCTTTTTTAACTCTGTTTTCATTTATTTCTAAATGGTTTCTCCTGGTCAAAAGGGGAGGGAAAAAAAGTCTTTGATGAGACTTTTCCCAGAAAAAAATATATATGATGTAGGAAAAGTGAAATGATCTCAATACAGAAGGTTTTAGGAGTCAATCTTCAAAAGACTTTTTAGAATGCCCTAACATTCTAGACTCAGTTTGATTTTTACATATTTTCCTCTTCACATCTCTCTGCTTTTTGTTTGCTATGATATTTTATGAACAAACAACTAGGGCTTTTTTTTAAGGTATGATTTTCATTCCTTTTCGTTCACATTAGGTAAATGTAAGAAATAGGAGGGAGAATTTACGTTGGAACACTCTTTAAAAGAAAAGTAAAAACTTTATTCTTTTTTTTATTGGTTAGATTCAAATTTCTTTGGGCTAATCCGTGTTTCCACACAAAGGAGAAGGGTGGAAAACCAACCCTAGTAAAATAAGTCCCATATGCCCACTCTTCACTTACTGACATGGTTAGATTTTTTTTTTTTAGTGTCATTATGGGACTCTAAAGAGTGTTAGGTAAAAAAAGGAAAATACTACATCAGATCACAAGATATAATTGTATCATTATAGCTGCCAAATCACCTAAAATCATGATTTATCCAAGTTTACTCAAATGTTAGCCACCACAGCCAACATTACTCTTGCCTTACACCTCAATGGCTGTCATAATTAGATGTACATCTTTAATGTGCAAAGCAGTAGATTTTTAAACCTCTGTAAATAGAAAATATTGGAAAACAAGATGATCAATAAGACTCCAGTACTATTCCTTGAAAATATTTTGTGGAAAATTATACACTTGTTATATACACACCTAGAGAAATTACTATGAGTTGAGAAGCTATACACCTTATAATAAAGATTCTTAAAGCCAGATAAATTTAAAATTCTTTTTACAATTGTATAAAATAATGATTATTATCCAAATGATATCTCTTCAAGAATAAAATGGCCATGAAGAACACACCCCATATTAATTAAACTATAGAGAAAAAAATCTTTATGTGACAGTTGATCTTTTATTCAACTCTTAACAACTGTATTGAGAGAAAGTCCTAGAAAATATTGCCACGTGTCTGCCTGACTAAAACACTATCGGTTCTAATTAGATTTGTAGCATAGCCTTCACATCAAAATGAAGGCAAAAAATATCAGCTTCTGACTCAATGTCAATTCTTTATTATCTTATTGTATTGGCCATTTCCAAAGCTAAAATCCATTTCCATCAAGGAAACATGGTTTGTGTGCAATTTCAAAGTTATGGTGATGAAAATTAAGCCCCATTTATAAGTAATATTCTCTGTTAAACATATGGTTTTGTGGCTCTGCCTGCAAAACTCAATTTGATAGGATCAAATGAACATTATTTACAGGAAGAAGACTATTGCAAATGCATGAAATAAAATCTTGTTGCATTTGCATAACAGCAAAGAGATTCAGCCAAGAGATTCACTTAGGTTATAACACACTTAAAGGTAATAATTATAGTTTGTCCAGGCTAGAAATGGCTACTTAAGTTGTTTGGAGTAATCAGTTTAGTCTTTACGAATATAGAAACAATCTTGTTTCAGAGAAGAGTTGGCCACTTTCAAAAATTATGTCAAAGTGAAAATGATGATGGTAGATGGTTTGAAGATTTTATTTTTCATTCTCCAACTGGTCATCAGTGTGTTCTCAGTATAAACATGTTCAGTACAGAAGACATCATATTTCTGATCATATCAGCTGGAGAATTAATAGTAGGATTATTGGGGAATGGGTTTATTGGACTAGTAACGTGTATTGACTGGATTAAAAAGAAGAAGCTCTTTTCAATTGACTACATCCTCATCAGTTTGGCTATCTCCAGAATTTGTCTGATCTGTGTAACAGTGCTCCATATCATCTTACTGGAATTCTACCCTGATTATATTATAAATGAGAAACTAAGACTACTCATTGGCATCGTCTGGGCATTCAGCAATCAATCAACTAGCTGGTTTGGCACTTGTCTTAGTGTCTACTATCTCCTCAAGATAGCCAATTTCTCCCATCAACTTTTTCTCTGGCTAAAGTGGAGAATTGACAGGGCTGTTGTCCATATTCTGTTGGGCTGCTTGACCATCTCCTTGTTGATCATCCTTCCAATAGTAATAATACTTGGTTGTGATTATCAGTTGTATATAATTAAGAATCAAAAAAGCAACTTCACTGAAATGTTTGATATGAGTAAATTCCATTACTTCTATATACTCAATATCTTTGTCTTATTGGGAATTGTCCCACTTACTGTGTCATTGATTTCATTTTTCCTTTTAATTATATCCCTGTGCATACATACCAAGCAAATGAAAAATAATGTTACAGGTTGTAGAGACCCCAGCATGACAGCTCATCTGGGAGCCATGAAAATGGTAATTTCATTTCTTTTCCTCTGTTTTGTATATTATTTGGCTACTCTTTTGGTGTCCTATAGTTACCTAATGATAAGAAAAAAGCTAAGTGTGCTGTTAGGAACAACTGTGTCAATTCTCTATCCCTCAGTTCACTCACTTATTTTAATTCTTGGGTATAATAAGCTCAGGCAAGCATCTGCCAGGATGCTGATATGTGGGAAAAGAGCCTGTTTGTTTTAAAATTTTAGTTATAAGTGAATTTTAAAGCATTTATTCTTTTCCTAAAAAATAAGGTCCGTAAGTGGTATAAAGATATTGTGCTACATTATGAAATAAAATATTGGTGCTTCAAAGCCACTCAATTATTATGGAAGAAAGACCTGGAAACTTGAGTTTGTAAATACAGTAGTCAAGAAAACAATGTGGAACAGTTAGTTCTACTTGGTAATATGGGAGATTACCATGAGTTGGAATTGAGGATTTTTTAAAAATAAAAAAAAATTATAACTTATATTCTTGAGACATTGTAATACTCTAGATAGCCTTGTTTTCAGAGTTAACTTTTCTACTAGTTATTTAAAGAGTTCACATTTCTCTTTTGATTCTCTCATTCCAAATTTAGCATGTATTGCTTAGTTAAACTCTTATAAGATTGTTTTCCTGGACCACAATGAAACAGACTTGAGCTGCACTTAATTTTACATAAATCTATACCTATATCTCTATATCTATACTTAAATTTTGTGAAATTAAAGATTAAATTTTGCAGTTTTCCTATTTGTCCAAAAATTATTATGAGTCCTTTACTATACTCTCTTCATATTTCTTAGACTGGACTTATAAACTAGAACCTCAAATCTCCACTGCCCTGTGTGTGTTTCAATTTCCTATTATTCATTTTATCTCTCTCTCTCTTCCCAGCTGGAGGATGCTTTAGGTGGTCTTCAGGTAGTTATTTCTTAGTTCTGGAAACTCCTATTCATTACTCTTGGAATTAAGTTTCTCTTCAGATGGCTTTCTTTTCAGGCAAGGTCTGCATGGCAATTGAACTCATTAAAAAAAAATCTCTCTCCATACAACTATTCTGGAAGGCAGTTTGGTGCTTCCTGAAAAAGCTGAAAATAGAAATTCCGTATGATCCAGCTATTCCATTGCTCAGAATATACCCCAAGGAAATGAGAACAGAGGCTTAAATGGAAAGTTGTGCACCAATGTTCATAGGAGCACTATTTACCATTTCAAGAACATGGAAACAGTCCAGACGTCCAACCATGACAAGCGGATTGAAAAATTGCGGTATTTTCATCAATGGAATACTACGCAGCACACAAGAGCAATCATTTTGTAAATTAATATCCAACTTGGGAGAGATTGGAGCCTATTATGCTGAGTGAACTAACTTAGTCCCCAAATGACAAATACTGAATAAAACCATTATTGTAGAATGAGTATGAGGATCCAAGGTCAGAGGGGAGGGTCGAAATATAGAGGGGAGGGTGGAAATATAAGGGTAAGGATGGGGGTAAGGATGTTAATATAGGTTTGCACAATTTGATGGGTGGCTGGGGTAAAGGAAATTGAAAGGATCTTTTGTGAAAAATAATATACTCAAACTTTGTGAATAAATCAGAGTAATATTAAAAATTATTTTAAAAATCAATATTTTTTTTAACTGCCTGGTATGTGTAAGTCATGACAGTTCTTAT